ATGCGGGCCAGCGTCAGCTGGATGCTTGGCGGCAGGTTCAGGCGGCACCCAGCCTGGAGGCAGTCCGCGCGGATGCGCGAGCGGCGCGAGCGCCCCAGGCGGGGTGGCAGACGGGTGCCCCCTGGCACGCTCTCGGGCCGGACGGCCCAGGGGCACGGCTGACGGGAGGCAGGCCTGCGGGCCCAAGCGGCCGCCGCAAGCGGGGCGTCCAAGCCACTGGCAGGCGCAGCATTCCGAAGAAACGGCGGCCGCGCTTGCAGGGGCCAGCGCCAGCCAGAGGCGTAGCAGCCCGTGCGGCGCTTGAACTGGAAGCAGCAGGCGCGGATGCGCCAGCGCCCCAGACGGGTTGGCAGAGGGGCGCCTCCAGGCACGCGCCACGGGCCGGCAGTCCCAGGGGCTGACGGGAGGCCGACTGGAGAGCCCACGCGGTCGGCGCAAGCGCTTCGCTAGGGCCGTTCAAGCCGCAGGCGGGCGCAGCAGCCCCGCGTCGTGACGAAAATCACGACTGGAGGCTTTCGGCAATTTTCGGCCGTCGGGGGCTCCTGCCGGGCCCCGGGGCCGTCAAAAGACGGCTCAGGATGTCAAACCCGTCCCCAGGAGGAGGGGGAGGAGGGGGAGGCAGGGGAGAAAGAGGAGGCGGTGGAGCAGGGGATATGAGGAGAAGGGGGAGGAGGAAGGAAAAAAGGGGGAGGATGAGGCAGAGGATGAGGAGGAGCAGGAGGAGGAGGAGGAGGTGGATGATGAGGAGGAGGATAAGGAGGAACATAAGTAACATTAACAATAATAATACCAGCGATTGAACACAAAACATTAATAATATGAACTTCAGTGCGGATACGGGTCTTAGTCATAATCATAACAAGCAGTTTAACCATATTAGTAATACAGCTAAGAAATATACGACACATAGTACGATCACACAAACTACGACGGTTCAGATGACTTTTATCAGCATTCAATTTTACAAAGCATGGGAAATACGACTCATCATATATGGTATATCAACAGTGAGTTTTCATATTGTTATGACTTCTACTACTACTACCACTACGGCTATACTTAGAACCTAATTTTTGGTAGCATTAAGCATACTAGTAGCAGTAAAAATAATCGGCATACTAGTAATAGTGATAGTTGTATCCATCATAATACTAGTAATTCTACGGATTATGATGGTATTACTCTTCATACTGATCATACTGATGATCATACTGCTGACACTAATAGTATGAATACTAGTCAGGGTAATCCTAGTAATACCTATAACAACCACAGTGCTACTACTACTACCATTGCTACTACTACTACTACTACCACTACTACTACTACTACCACTACTACTACTACTACTACTACTACTACTACTACTACTACCTACTACTACTACTACTACTACTACTACTACTACTACTACTGCTACTACTACTACTACTACTACTACTACTACTACTACTACTACTACTACTACTACTACTACTACTACTACTACTACTACTACACTACTACTACTACTACTACTACTACTACTACTACTACTACTACTACTACTACTACTACTACTACTACTACTACTACTACTACTACTAGTACTCATAACACTACTAATGCAAACAAGAAACATAATAAGAACATGAATAATTCAGAATATGACAAGAAGAAGCATAACATTAATAGTCAGACACGAAGAAGAGGAGGCGGAGGAGGATCAGGAGGAGGAAGAGGAGGAGGAGGAGGAGGAGGAGGAGGGAGGAGGGGGTCCAGACCTCCAGGGTCCACGTTGTGTGATAATCGCACGACGTCCGATGCCTGGGCGCTGGTTGTGCTGCCTCGCGTGCTGCTGTCGCGACGGCGTACTTTGCTCCTGGGGGGTGGGGCGAAGGGGGAGTCTTCGCAGTCTCCCTCTGCCTCTGCAGAGTGTGACAACACGTCGGCTGTCCTCTGTGATCGCCAAGCGCGCCGGATGTGTTGGGTATGTCCTCATTTCTCTGTTTACCATGCCCCCCTCGTCGTCACTTCTCTCTCAGCTCGCCGCTGCCGTCGCTGTCGCCACACTCGTCTTCGAGCTGTCTTGGTACGGCGCGTCGAGCGTGGACTTGCCGCGCGATTCGCGGTTTGGGCATCGCGCCCGCGGGGGTCGCGCTGGCGAAAACAACTTGCCGCGACGAATCCTGTTCTGGGCAATGGGGAGCGAGGAGTGATCAGGTAAGACGCGGAGGTATGGGAGGAGGATGGAGAGGGCGAGAGTGAGGTTGAGAGGGAGGAGAGGAAGAATGAGAAGGCGGAGAAGGAAGAGGAGTAGGAGGAGGAGGAGGAACAGGAGGAGGAGAGGGAGGAGCAGAGGGCGGAGGATGATGAGGATGAGGATGGGGCTGCTGCTGCTGCTGATGATGATGATGATGATGTTGATGCTGATGATGATGATGATGATGATGATGATGATGATGGTGAGGTTGCTTATGAAGATTCTGATGATGATAATGATGGTGGTGGTGGCGATGATGATACTGATGATGATGCTGATGATGATGCTTATGGTGATGATGCCGATGATAGTGATACTGCAGCTGATGATGACGATGATGATGATGATGATGATGATGATGAAGAAGAAGCTGCTGATGACGAATCGGATGATAATGCTGATGCTGCTGATGATGATGCTGATGTTGTTGATGATGATGATGATGATGATGATGATTATGATGATGATGATGCTGATGATGATGATGCTGATGATGATGATTATGATTATGCTGATGTTGATGATGCTGCTGTTGCTGATGTTGATGCTGATGATGATGCTGATAATGATGATGCTGCTCATGATGATGATAATGATGATGATGATGATGATGATGATGATGATGATGATGATGACGATTCTGCCGACCATGAGCGGTAGGAGGAGGAGGAGACGGAGCAGGAGGAGGAGGAGGAGCAGGAGGAGGAAGAGGGGGATGATCTAGAGGAAGAGGAAAAGTATATGGATGATACGGATTATGCTTGTGTTGAAGATGAAGAGTTAGTGTGTGGGGCGGAATGGTGGTCGCTTGCTCGTTGTCGGTGGTCGGAAGAGGAATGACGTGAAGCAGCGGAGGAAGGAGAAGGATAACATGGAGGATGCGGAGGAACGTTATTGCCGATCTTATGTGGATGAGGTCGACGAAGAAATGGAGGGGGGGATGTAGGAGCATGAAGATAAGGATGCGGTTAAGGTGGAATATCAAGGGGAGGAGGAGGAACATGTGGGTGTAAGGCGGGAAGGAAGATGGGGAGGTGCAGGAGGTCGGGAGACGCGGGGACACATGACGATGTGGGAGAGCGAGGACGGAACGAATCCACTTGATGCGAAGGGACATGGGGAGGAGGAGGATGAGGATTAGGATGAGGAAGAGGATGATAATGATGAGGATGATGCTGATGCTGATGATGGTGGTGATGATGATGATGCTGATGCTGATGCTGATGCTGCTGATGATGATGTTGATGATGATGAGGGGGATGAGGATGAGGATGAGGACGAGGATGAAGATGATGATGAGGATGATGAGGTTGATGCTGATGGTGATGATGGTGGTGAGATGCTGATGATGACGATGATGACGAGGAGGAGCAGGAGGAGGAGGAGCCGAAGCAGGATGAAGAAGAGGAGGAGGGTGGCGAGCAGGACATTACACTGAGGTTGATGAGGGTGGGGAGGAGGAAGATGAGGAGGAGGAGGAGGAGAAGGAAGAGGAGGATGAGGAGGAGGAGGGGGCATGGACGATGGTCTTTTTGCTGTTGATGTTCGTCGGGTGGTAAGCATACTGATGCTAATGCGGGCTCTATTGCTGCTTATGAAGTGGATTCTGCTCATTGGCGATTGGGTTGGTGACAACGCCCACGACTATGACGAGATTTTCAGTGATGGATGAGGAGACGGAGGAAACGGATGAGGAGGTGGTGGATGACGACGACGATGACGATGACGATGACGATGACGATGATGATGATGATGATGATGGTGATGATGATGGTGATGATGATTATGCTGAGGATGATGATGATGATGATGATGATGATGATGATGATGATGATGATGATGATGATGATGATGATGATGATTGATGATGCTGCTGATTATGATGCTGATTCTGATGATGAGGATGAGGATGAGGATGATGAGGATGATGAGGATGATGAGGATGATGAGGATGATGAGGATGATGCGGATGAGGATGAGGATGAGGATGAGGATGAGGTTGAGGATGAGGATGATGATGATGATGATGATGATGATGATGATGATGATGATGATGATGATGATGATGATGATGATGATGATGATGATGATGATGGTGATGATGATGGATGGGTGGTGATGATGATGATGATGATGATGATGATGATGATGACATGAGTCGGAGGAGGAGAATGGGGGAGGAGGAGGAGGAGGAGGAGGAGGAGGAGGAGGAGGAGGAGGAGGAGGAGGAGGACGACGAGAATGATAGAGAAGGGCGGAGTGAGGGCAGGGTAGGTGGGTGGGACTGTCCAGCTTGTCCACTGTGCTCAGTTCACGCCTCTCAAAGCCTCTTGTGCCAGTGCGGGCAGTCCAGCTCTTGCCAACAGCCTTCCCTCTCAACCTCCGTCCTCTTCTCCAGCACCCTCCCGCGAGCGGTGGGCGTGAGGGGGAGAGAGAGAGGCTGGCGTCAGGGCAAGCCTTTTGCCGTGGCCCCTCGCATCTCTGGCTGCTGGCCTCCCTGACACCCGCCGTTTTTTTTTTTTTTTTTTTTTTTTTTTCTTTTTCATATCTCCCACTTCGCGGCTTCAGAGGCCCCGACCGCTTCCCCACGGGTTAGCTTCTCGTCCCGGATCCCCTGTTTAGCTAGTCCCTGGGCCCGAACACAAGGAAGAATTCCCCAGGAAAAGCGAGGAGCAATTCGAGGACAGACGCGAGGAAAACGGGCCCCGGAGGCCGAACCTCGAGGCAAGAGGCCCGGCTCGAAGAGCAGTCGGATCGTCGAAGGTCCCCTGGGCTCCCCGCCCACCGCCGGAAGGTCGGACCAGCAGGAGTTCCAGAAGCTGGTCCTCGGCTGCAACAAGGACGCCCGCACGCGCCGGCCCCGCGACGTTCGAGCCCCTCGTGCTCGTGACACGTGCGGTGCACTGCACGCGTGAGGCAGGACCGACTGGCACGCGTGGTGCTCGATCGCTCTGGGTGTCTGTCTGTGTGTGTGTGTGTGTGGGTATGTCCGGCTTCCTTTCGCCCCCGCCCGCGCCGGGCTTCCTCTCTTTCCCGTGTGCACTGCGGCCCCAATCGCATTTTGTGCGCCCCACTAAAAAACCACATCGACAGAGCAGTAACCTCTGCCCAGCCGCCGACGCAAAAAGTTTGTGTGTGTGTGTGTGTTTGGGAGGCACGTGCAGCAGTGGTTGTATGTCCGCCTCATTTGTTCGGCGGCGAGCCCACGGGGGAAGCGAGAGGGGCAGGCCTTCTCAGAAGGCGGCCGGGCTTCTCAGAGGCCCTCGCGCCGTCTGAGAAGTCTTCCGAGCCTTCTCCGAAGACAGAGCTGGCTTCCCAGAAGGCCGGGGGAGCCTTCTGAGAAGCCCCGCCGCCTTCTGAGAAGGCCTGCCCTCCTTCACTCCCCCCCTGGGCTCGCCGCCTAGGGTAGCTCTAGCTCGTGGTGCCGTTTCGTTGGTGCCACAGTTCGCTGCATGAGTTTGTCTGCTGCAGGTCGGCTTGCGCGGCTCTGGGTTTGTCTGGCGACTCTCCGACTCGCACTGTGGTCTTACACAGGCGCCTCTCGCACAAGCAGTGGTCCCAATTTCGATGCGAAGCCCCATCGAAGCGAGAGTGCGCTAGTGAGCGCTTGGAGGCTCGTTCGTCATGTGCTATCGCTCATGGTGATGTATGATAACCATCGTCGCCAAAATGTTATCGCGTCATCCCTCATGTCCCGACTGCGTGAGACAAAACGCCGCTTGGACCGCTTACGGGGCGACGAAATGCCTCTGGACGCATCGCCAAATCGATATGTCAAGGATCAAGGATGTATGTATCGCACCGTTGGCACTTGGTGTTTACCACATTATCTTGCGGTTTGACAGCACAGCCACTGAGTCTTTGGTTGTAGCTATGTTCTGAAGGCGACCGTTCGGCTGCTTACAAATCAGGAAGCAGCGGCACGATTGCCGCATATCGGTTCCAGATGCCCAGCAGGGGGAAATCCGAAAATGCTGGGCGTCGTTCTCATTTGATGGGCGCGATCATTCGCACACCTGTGCGATCGGCATGTGCACGGAACCCAACGGAGACGACGAAGACCCACCAAGCTTTTTCTTGTCCACTTGGGGTACGGGGCTCGCGGTCGGGTTCGCCGTGGACGTGGTCCAGTTCGGAGACAAGAGGCTGCCTGCCCAACGGCGGCCGCTGTCGGTCGTGGAGAACCCTGCTGGTTGGCACTGTGCAGCGTCTTCTCCGTGCCCCTCTCGGGCTGTGCCGGGCGCAGGCGGCAGGCGTCGTCTTCAGAGGCCGCGTGCGTGCTGGCTGGGTGGGTCGAGGAGTCAGAGCACTGGAACACTGTCGTGTTGGCGTGCTGGTTGGCAAGAGGCCCAGGGAGACAGACAAGTATGCACAAATCCCAGGATTCCATCTAGACATATATATATATATATATATATATATGCATGCATATCTACATATTTACATTATGTATAAATATATATAGAGTTGCCGGATTCCACATTCATATGCACATACAGATCCATGTATGTTCGGGGTATTCGTCTTGCTCTCCGCTTCCCATGTTTCCGATCCGTTCGTGAAAGTCGTCTTCGGTAGCAAATGATGCAGCCTTGTGTACCCTCGCAATTCTGACTTCAGCGTCGATTAGCGTCGATTGGAATCTGGGAGTCGATGATATAGCGCCGATTTAGCGTCGGTTAGCGTCGATTAGCGTCGACTTAGCGTCGATTAGCGTCGATTCAGCGTCGACTAGCGTCGATTCGCAAGAGCCGACACGATGGTATGGGAGGCTCCCATGAGTTGCCACCGAAAGTAGAGACCGTTAGGGGGCCACATGCGAACCCTACCCCTACCCCCCACGATTTCTGAGGGGGAGGGTGGGGTTCACTTCGCTCGGGAGCTCCCGAGCGAAGTGAACCCCACCCTCCCCCTCAGAAATCGTGGGGGGTAGGGGTAGGGTTCGCATGTGGCCCCCTAACCGTCTAATCATTCCTGGGTCCCAGTAATAGGAAGCACAGAAGAGCGCCGAAAACGGACCAAGGCAGCCTGAAAACACAGTCATCGATCACGGCAGCAGTGAGGGGCCCCAGATCACGTAGGTTGTGCATTGTATTATGTTTGCGCTTACAGTTTCTAGCTCGAGTTTGAGTCCAAGTTGAGCGACACAATCAACAGCACAGTTGACCTGAAGGGGTCTGTGAAGTCTTGGTCTTACAACTGAATCTTCATTTGCATCTGCATCTCTGTCAGAAGATCCACAGTGTCCTAAATGGACCGTTTGGTAGTACTACTGATACTAGCGGTGCGAATACCCTTTCACTACTTGCTCCCAGTAGTACGTAAGCGGCAAGACCCTTACAGGGCAGGATCTCTGCGTCAGGGGACTGTGGCAATCTGGTGTAATACCAATGCGCACTGTGAGGTGGTCCGGGTGATGGATGTAAGTGTGGGCCACTGGAGTCAGAGTGCCGAGAACTGGTGATGGTCAAGAGCAAGGGCGTTTCATTTTCGGACCGAGGCTGCAGACGAGCGGGCAACGATCCTAGCACCGTGTCTCCATTCATAATATAACAGGGCATAATTCCAGCGTGGACCTCAAACAGCGAGTTAATACAGTCTCAGTTGGGCAATGCACGGCAATGGAGCAATGAAAGACACTGCGAAACAACGCACCACACGGAAAATCATCATGCGAGTCAATGCGCAGTGCGGCGATGCAACTCAACAGCCCGTGGCGCAACCCATGGGCGCGAACTGTGGCACCTACACATTGGCGCCACCCACGGCGGACCTCATTGCGGCAACCCATAGAGACACCCATGGGCGCAAGCCATGGAATTCCAAATCTGCGTCACCCATGCCGCAACCCATGGGCGCAATTTACTATCCAGTTGCGCTGCCGCGCGACTCCGCCACGGCGCTCGGGCGTGCGCGGAAGGGGCGTGTGTGTGTGTGCTTGTGGGGTGGATGGGGGGAGGGGCCACAGAACCCCACTTCCCCAAGCTTTGTATTTTGCGTCGTTCCCTGTCGGGATGGCCAAATGCGCAGGGATTTGGCCAGAACAAGGAGCGCATCTTGGGCTCGATGCGTCGGGGGCCCTGAAGTATGGCGTCGCAGAAAGCGCAAGGGCCCGACGCACACCGGCCGCCGCAGGCGCGGTTGCGGACAGCACCCGAAGCTCTGCGCCACTTCATGCCCCGTTGCAGGAGGCCCTGATCGTAGTCGGTGCTCGGGTGCTTGGTACAAGCGGCCGGGCGCGCCAAGTTGTGCCGCGGCGCGAGCGTCGTGGCACGTCCATCGGGGCACGGCAAGGCATCCGTAGAAGGGCAGCATCGCTCCACTGCTGCTCGAAGCGCGCGCGCTCGCGCGCACCTGCCAGGGGCAGGAGGGGTTCTGCCTCGCTGCCCCATTCCAAGCCGCCCCGTGCGCTGCCCGAGGAGGGCATGGACTTCCTCCGCAAGGGCCAGCACAAGCAGGGCGCGCCCCGCCCGCGCCCCGCCCGCGCCCCCGACGAGAGCAGAAACGAGAGCAGCCGAGGGCGGGGCCGGGCCCCAGGCAGAGCCCTGGCCCGCGCCAGAGCACGCGGAGGAGGAGGAGGAGGAGGAGGAGGAGGAGGAGGAGGAGGAGGAGGAGGAGGAGGAGGAGGAGGAGGAGGAGGAGGAGGAGGAGGAGGAGGGGGAGGACTGTGGTCGAGAAGTCGAGACGCCGAGGCAGGCAGGGTTCACCGGAGGGGCCTCCGGGCTGCTCCTCAGAGCCACCACGTCTCGGGGAGCCCGCTCGCGGCCCCGGCTCGCCGTGGCCGGAGCAGCTCCTTCGTTCCCCAGCCAGCGTGCCTACAGTCGGGGCGTTGACCTGAGGAACCCTAAATCAGGAACTTCCCATAAGGTAAACTTCCATTTCCCATGGAAATCCTCAGGACAACCTGAGGCAAACTGTTAGACAATCAAGGAACACCGAGCCCCTCCCCAACGAAAAGGGTTCCTTCTTCAGCGCCCCGACTGTAGTGTCGGCGGCGAGTTCGGGATGGAAGCGAGCAGGGACGGGCCTTCTCGGAAGGCTCGGAAGTCCCCCGGCCTTCCCAGAAGTTTTTTCGAAGCCTTCAGCACTTCTCGGAGGGCGCGGGGGTTTCCGAGAAGGTCCGCCGCCCCCTGAGGAGGCCTTGTCCTTCTCTCCCCCCCCTTGTCCTTCTCCCCCCCCCCCGCTCGCCGCCGATAATGGTATCGGCGTCACCACAGCACACTGATAATTACTATGTGTGCGTCGCCCCCCCAGGGGGGACGCGCGCACCGAGAAATTCTTGACGCTTCGCGGATCCCCACCAACCCATCCAGAAACGATGCCCATGAGAGCTGACGGGGGGAGTCGAGCCGTCTTGGAGCGGTCTTGAGGCCTCTTGAAGCATCTTGGGAGCCATCTTGAGCCAGCTTGGGCTATCTTGAGCCATCTTGGAGGTCATCTTGGGCTCTCTGAGGCCGCTCGGGGGCCTCTTGGGTGCCACTCGGGGGCCTCTTGGAGGCCTCTTGGGGCTTCTTGGGGCGCTCATGGAGCTCTCTTGGGGACCTCTTGGGAGCCCTGGAGGGCCTCTTGGTGCCATCTTGAAGGCGGTGGGTCAAAAGAGGGGGGATCCTCGATGTCTGCCCTCCCCTCGGGGGCCACGATCGTGTCAAACATTGGCCCTCCCACTGGGCGAAAAAGGACCCTCTGACACATCGGTCCCCCTCCCGAAGAAACCCAGGGAGGGGAGGGGGAGGGTTCCCCTCCCCGAAGGGAAGAGGGGTTGTAGAAGAAAAAAGAGATCACCCTCAGACCACCTGTCGCCCAATGGGCTGGTGGGATAATTTCCCCTCTCGGGATCCCCAAAATCGCCTCTTGGGCCCATCTTGGAGCGCTCTTAGAGCGCTCTTGGGCGCTCTCGGGGCCGTCTTGGTGCTCTCTCGGGCCTCTCTTGGGGCCTTCTTGGGCTATCTTGGAGCCATCTTGATGCCTCGGAAGGCCATCGAAAGCAAAAAGGCGAGAAGGCCAAATTCATGGATTTTCTTTTGGTTTTTGAAGGATGTTGACCTCTTGGCGGCCTCCTGGGGAGGCTCCGTGGCCACCTTGAGCCGTCTTGGAGCGGTCTTGGGGCCTCTTGGGGCATCTTGGGACCATCTTGAGCCAGCTTTGACTATCTTGAGCCATCTTGGAGCTCATCTTGGGCTCTCTGAGGCCACTTGGGGGTCACTCGGGAGCCTCTCAGGGGCCTCTCGTGGGCCTCTTGGAGCCCTCTTGGGGCCTCTTGGAGCGCTCGTGGGACCCTCGTGGGGGCCTCTCGGGAGCCCAGGAGGGCCTCTTGGGGCCATCTTGGAGGCGGTCGGTCAAAAGAGGGGGGTCCTCAATGTTCGTCCCTCCCTTGGGGGCCACGATCCTCGTGAGGGGTGTCAAAAGTTGACCCTCCCACTGGCCGAAAAAGGAGCCTCCGACAGCTCGCGAGACCTCCCAAAAAACCTCAGGGAGGGGATGGGGAGGGTTCCCCTTCCCGAAAGTAAGAGGGGTTGTGGATGAGGAGAGAGACCCTCCTTAGACCACCTGTCGCCCAGAGGGCTGGTGGGATTTTATAGTGTGTGCGTCGTAGCGGGCGCTTTCTGGCCACTCCGCGCGGGAAGCGACATATCATTACCAGAGGGGCTAACCATCTCTTCGGGTCGGACGCGCGCCTCCGAGGAGCACACGCGGCATCCGCATGCCCCCTGTGCGCCCCACCGTGGGCACGATGGCCGTGCCCGAGCAGCCAGCTCAGCGCCCGGGCCCTCCGCGGCGGGGGGCGCAGCAGCCCGCGGCGCGGCGCGCCCCCCCGCGCCTCCGCCGCGCGCGGGGAGGCGGGCCGTGCAGCGCGCGCCCTGCCGCGCGCGAGGCGCGCGAGGCGCGGCCGGCTCCTCGGAGGCACGCGCGGGCCCGGCGGGCGCGGGCGCGGAGGCCCTCGGCTCTCCGTGGCGCGGGGGGGCCTCGCAGGTCGAGCGGCGCAGAGCAGCGGGGTCGCCTGCTGCTCCTTCCTCCTCCCTCCTCCCCCCTCCTCGTCCTCCTCCTCCTCCTGTCCTCCTCCTCCTCCTTGTCCTCGTCCTCCTCTCCTCCTCCTCGTCCTCGTCCTCCTCCTCCTCCTCCTCCTCCTCCTCCTCCTCCTCCTCCTCCTCCTCCTCCTCTCTCCTCTCCTCCTCCTCCTCCTCCTCCTCCTCCTCCTCCTCCTCCTCCTCCTCCTCCTCCTCCTCCTTCTCCAGCCTCTCTCCACCAGCCTCTCTCCTCCGTCCTCCTCCCTCCACAGAGCCCCAGACTCCATTGGAGCGGCGCAAAACAACGGGGTCGCTTGCGCCGAGGTGTGATCGTGATTGTTTTCTGACTCCTTTTTTCTGCCGATCGGCGCGGGCCCTCGCACCCCCCTCCCCCCCCCAATGGAGTAGACCTTGGCTCTTCTTGGCGCTGGTTTCAGGCAGGTGGAGGCTCCCCCACGGACGCACTGTCTTAAACAGTCGCACTAAGCAGAGGTCCGGAGCCAGACTTCCCCCTCTCTTCCCCCACTTCCGCCCAATGTCGAAACGCCGAAAAAGAAAACGCTCACCATTGGCACGTAAGCTGCCCGCGTAAGGTCGCGCGTGAGCGCCCTCGTCTCCACTCTAGCATGCCGCGCTGGTGGCCCGCGTAAACCGCCGCGTAAGGTCGCTGTGCCATCTCGTGTAAGACCCAGATGGGGTCCGAGCAGATGTGGTCGGAGGATCGGGCCGCATCGCCGACGCATCGCCGAAGCATCGCCGACGCATCGCCGACGCATTGCCGATGCGGCTCGACGTGGAGCCCGATTTTCTCCACGCCGACGTCGTCGATGCACCGCCGGCGTCGCCGATGCATCGCCGACGCATCGGCGATGCATCGGCGATGCGGCTCGATCCTCCGACCCTGTCTATGCAGGTGGTGCCCGAGCGCCGTGCCAAGGGCTGGCGCATGGCTTCTGCACTGACCCACCTGCGGTGCCGCGCGAGGCCGCCGCAGCGCTCGGGCGGGCGCGCCTGGGGGGCGGGCGGGGGCCCTGGTGGGCGGGCGGAGGGCGCCCCTGGGGTAGAGTGCGGGGCTCACGCAACGGGAGTCAGCGCTGACGGGGGACAGCCGATCCCCTCTGGCTGACCCGGGCTTGGCAGCCACGTGGGGCCGATTCCTCCCCTGTTCCGCCCTCCGCTGAGCCGGGCTTGGGAGCTGCGCAGAGCGGCCGGCCAGGCTTCGCGACAGGGCCCTGGCTGGCCTGGGCTTGTGCTGGCCCGGGTCAGGGCGTGCCCGAGAAGTGCCACGCAGGGTCCCGCCTGGGCCTCAGATCTTCGCACCACCGTCTGCTCGCAGGGCAGACAAAGGCGCGCATTGGGTCTGGCGCGTACAGGGGGTCCGCCATGGCTGCCTCGCAGGAGGCGGAACTAACAAAATCGCAAGGCGGCGACCCCGGCGAGGTGTGTGTGTGTGTGTGTTCGCAAAGAGAGAATGAGTAGACGGAGGCGGAGGAGGAGGAAGAGGAGGAGGACGAGGAGGAGGAGGAGGAGGAGGAGGAGGGGCAGGAGGAGGGAGAGAAAGAGAGAGTCGCGGTAATTGATTTAGGCGTGTCCCGCCCCAGATTTCGCCGCGTTGGATCAACTGGCCGCGACAGGAAAGAGCTCGCAAAGAGTCAGCGGCCAGGGCGAGGGCGGCTGGAGGAGGAGGGGGTGGGCCCCGTCGGGAGACTTCGCCCGCGGACGCCTGGAGTTTGTGCCCTGTGAAACTCCCCGGCACCTCCTTGAAGAAGGGAAAACCACCCCGACCCCCATCCATGTCGTTTACTCGCCGAGCGCGTTCCACTACTCGCAAAGTGTCTACTCGCAAACGTCCGAAATATACATATAGGTCTTCCTCAAAGTACTTTATCGTAGATCCCCCGCGGCGGATCCGGGCCATCTGCGAGTAGTCACTCTGCGAGTAGTGGAGCGCGCTCGTCGCGTTTACGAGGCACCCCAGGGCGTTCTGTTCTGTTTTGTTGCGCAGCTCAAGAAACCAAAGTTGCAGCTGTTTGTGCTCTGTGAAACGAAGACAGCAGGGCATCGACCTCAAGCGATGCTTGCTCTAGGGCAATCGCTTCGGCTCTAGGGCAACAAACCTCCTGGCAGCCCCGCCCTGCTCCATCCCCTGCTCGGGCGCGCCTACTCGCCCGCTGCGCCCGTCGGGGGCGCTTCTCTGAGGAGGGCGGCCCCTCTGCCCTCCGCCTCCTGGCGACGAGGAGGAGGAAGAGGAGCACAGGGGGTAGGGAAGGGGGGGTAGGGACGGAGAAGGATGATAATGGAGGGAAGGAGGAGGAAGAGGAGGAAGAGGAGGAAGGAGCAGGATGATAATGGAGGGAAGGAGGGGTAGGGAAGGGGGGTAAGGGAGGAGGAAGAGGAGCAGGATGATCATGAGGATTATGGGGATGGGGGCAGGGGGGCAGGGAAGGGACAAGGATCGGGCGTCGAGAGTCGTGGCTTTCGAGCTTCTGGACCCCACTGGGCCCCCAGGCAGCCCTATGGGGCCGGAGGAGGGAGGGAGGGAGACTGCGTGCGCAGCGCGGTGCAGCCCGCCGGGCGGGTGCCCGGCACGCCGCCCAGCCTTCGAGCAGCTGAAGTACGCGGAGGCGATGCTGGGCGAGCGACAGAGCGAGGACCGGCCCGCGGCCTGCGCCCTGCGGGCAGCCTCGCGCGCGGGGATGCTCGGAGCGCCCAGGCCTCGGGGCCTGGCCGCCTTCCTCCCCACGGCGTGGCCCCTCGCGCGAGAGGAGGCACGAGGACCACGACCAAGACGTCGCGGGATGCCGCCGAGGCCCGTCTTGACCGTGGTCCGTGCCGGCCGCCGCCGATTCGCGAGGATGACCCACGAACTGACGGTGGCCGCGACGGACGATGACCAAGATCGGCACCGGCGTTTCCGCGTTCAGTCTTGCTCATGTCGTTTTCCTTCCCTCCACCCGGTCATCTCGACCCCCATCCCCAGGCCCGGTTCTCGTCACGGGTTGTCTTTCTTGATGGTGTTGGGATGCTACAGGCGCGCCTGATCCTGAGCATCTCAAGAGCACCCGCCCGTTTTCTGGCCTGCGCGCGGTGGGGGCGTCGCGAGGTGTGGGGCCCTCTAGTCGACCAAAGAACTAACGACACCTCCACACCTACGGCCCTCCATGTTGTGCTATAGCCCATCGGGGGCCGTAGCGTATACCACGCAAAAACCCAAGCCGTTTGTTTCCCGTTCCATCCGGGGCTCCTCAGAGGCCGGTGGGCCCTGCTGAGGAGGCCCCCGCCTTCCACCGCGTGCTCGTCGCCAAACATGCGCCGGGTGTGACCCTCCCAGGTGATCGCTTTCTTATCAATTGTTCTGCCGATTGGCGCGGGCCTTCGCCCTGCCCCCTCCCCCCCCTGTTTGTGGCGCCTGTTTCGAGCAGGTGGGGTCTCCCACACAGGAAGCACTGCTGCAAACAGTCGCACTGCAGTGCCGTTTTTAACATGCTCCGCGTGCGGATCATGTATTGAACATGTAAGGATTTAGCATTAAAAACAACGATGAGTTCATGCATACATTTATTTATAAATGAATCATGTATTAAACATCCGATGTTTTTGAACATCCCATGTATTACAAAATGCCCTGTAAGCAGAGGTCTGGAGCCCTCCCCCCCCCCATTCCGCCCAATGTCGAAACGCCGAGTAAGAAAACGTTGACCAGTGCGTCTGTAGGTTTGGGCCCATCCTCTACCGGGCGGCCCGCGGGGATGCGTGAGCTTGGCGGGCTTTCCCGGGCCGCGCGCGCGTGTCGAGACCCTCCGCTTGTCTGAGAAGGTTCACTTGTCCACGTGCCTGCCTTTTTTGCCTTTCCTGGCCCTCGTGAGGTGGAGGAGGAGGAGGAGGAGGAAGAGGAGGAGCAGGAGGAGGAGAGTGGAGGAGGAAGAGGAGGAGCAGGAGGAGAGGAGGAAGGAGGAGAGGGAGGAGGGAGGAGGTGAGAGGCGAGGGAGCAAGGAGGAGAGGAGGGGTGAGGAAGGTCGTCGGGAGGGGCAGTGGGGCTGTAGTATACTTGAGGGGGCCCTAGGGGGTCCCACCAGGCCGTGATATAAGCTACCCCAGCACAGCACTCCAATACAAGCAAAAGTGAAGAGGGGCGGGTCGAGGAGTAGGAGGTCGGCCAGGGGCTTGAGATGCAGCCAAGACAGGGGTGAAATCGCGGCCATGCACACCTTCGTGTTCTATGTTTTTGTAAGGACATTCTCACTATCATTCGCATTAATCATAATTACTGTTATTATTACCATTAAGATTATTATTCGTATTAGTACCATTATTCCCATCATTATCATTATTGTTGCTAGTGTTATGGTTTCGATTGCTATCAGTATCATTATGATGCCTGAGAGATTATGTATATATACACATCTTTCACTATTAAAGACACTGGGAGCCCTCTAGCGAAACGCTATGAGGGACACAAATGGTTACCCAGCCTTGCGTGGCTGGTCTGCTGCGTGCACGAGGCGTGCGGGCGCACGTCGCGAGGCGCGCGCGGCTCGTCCCGCCTGGGGCCCAGAGAAGCCTGGTGCGGTGTGAGGGGGGGGATGTGCTTCCCTGGTATCCTCCCTCTCCCATTTCTCCTTTGTCGTCGTTTTCTTACTCAGTGTATTGCTGATCGGCTCTGGCCCTCGCCCCCCTCCCCTTCCTCACCCATGGAGTAGATGTTGGCTGTCTTCGGCGCCTGTTTCGAGCAGGTGGATTCTCCCCCACATAGGACGCACTGCTGCAAAGGGTGGCATTCAGCAGAGGTCTGGAGCCCTTCCGCCCAATGCCGAAACGCCAAGTAAGACAACGCTCGCATTGCGACGGCTCCGCGGGGTCATTGTCCGATCGGCTGATCGGCTGCTTCGCGCCTCATCGACTGCTCAGCCGATCGGCTGATCGGCTGCCTGGCGCCTGATCGGCCGATCGGCTGGTCGGCTGGTTGGCGCCCGACCGGCGGACTTGTCACGCTCGCCCGTTCGCGGTCAGATTGTGGGGATGTCTCGGGCGCGGCGCCCGTTTGGCTTCACCGGCTCCTCTGCTCTCAGAGGAAGTTGCGAGGGTAGCACCCCAAGGTGGAGCTGCCAGGGTGCATTCAGCTCGCCCGTTCGCGGCAAGCTTGCGTGTAGTTCCTAGCCGAGGCTCTCGATTGGCATCCCAGACTCCTCTGCATTCAGAGCCGCGTGATCACCACGATGCAGCACGCTAATAATCTTTCACACGCGGTCACTCACGGTGGGAAGTGCCGATCAGCCGATCAGCCGATCGGCGGCCAGGCAGCTGATCGGCCGATCGGCCGATCGGCTGATCGGCGGGGCTCGCATACCACCCCGGGATGCCACCGCCCTGCACTTCTCCCCCTCTTCTGCTGCTCGTCTTCTGCAGTCCCCTCTCCTCCATGCGAGAACACGCAGACGTGGATGCAGAGGGAGGATGATGATGATGATGATGATGATGAGGAGGAGGAGGAGGAGGAGGAGGAGGAG